CACCTTAAGCACAACTGCAAAAGAAAAAAAAACAAGCACCTGGAATTAATTTAGTTCAAAAATGTCTGTACTTCTAAAGATACTTTTTTTTTTCCAATACTGGGGATTGAACTCAGGACCTTGCATTTGCCAGGCACACGCTTATTCCACTGAGCTATCTCCCTAGCCCCTCTAAAGACACTGTTGAAAGAAGGAAAAGACATTTCACAGTCTAGGAAAAAGCACATGCGAATCACACATCTGACAGAGGAACAATGTCTAGAAAATAATAAAGAACCTATAAACCTCAATGGTAAGAACATAAAATCAACAATTAAAAAGGGACAAAAGATTTCAACACCTCATCAAGGAATATGAACAGAAAAGAAGCATGAAAAAAGTTCAACCTTATTAGTCACTAGTGAAATAGCTATTAAAACTAGGATGGGATAACGCTGTGTACCTAGTAGGCTGGCTTTAAGGCAAAAACTGGCAGTCTTGTGTATTGACAGGGATATTGAGCAATTGAAACTCTCACTCCATTGTGGGTGGAAATGTAAAATGGTGTGCCTGCCATGTGGGGAGGGTAATTTTTTCTTTCTTTTTTTTTTAGGTTATAATCTTTTAATAAAATTTTTGTGCTTCTGGAACAACTTACTCAATTCATATAATATGCATGATACAACAAACAAGAGAAAACTGAGACAGTCTTACCATAAAACTATTAACTGTGCGAGTTAAAGAATTTTGTTTGTTTCTTTGAGACAGGGTCTCACTATGCAACTCTGGCTGGTCTTGAACTCCCAGTGACCCTCCTGGAATTACAGATATATGAGTACCACGCACAGCTCCAACGGTCCTGTCTTCTGTTCACTCATGACATACCACTTTTTGTTTTCTATTCTAAATCATTACACAAACTTTTTAACATTTCCTTAAAAAATAGTAATTTTTTCTTATCGAGTTAAATATATACTTACCGTGTGACCGTGACCCCACTCCCAGGTTAGTCAAGACAAGTGAGAATATATGTTTGTACAGAGACTTGAGTATAATTAGCAACTTTGTTCAAACTTCCCTAACTCCGAGACAACCCAAGTATCCTCCAACCTGTGAGTGGACATCTGTGGATGAATCTCAGGTGCATTTAGGTAGTGAAAGAAGCCACATGTTTTGTGATTCTGTTTGTCATTCTGAAAAAGGCCAATCTAAAGAGATTGTAAACAAATTGGGTGTCAGGGATGAGTGTTAATTACAAAAGGAAAGCATTGGAGACGTGTTTGGAGTGAAAAATTATTCTGTGGCATGCCTGTTGTGGTTGGATATGCACTTTTCAAAACCCTTTGAACTCTATGCCAGAGACAAAGAGTGAATTTTTCCTCTAAGAGAATTAAAGACTAAATTTAAAAAAAGAATAAAAATGTCTTAGAACAAATCACTCATCTAAATTTGAAATACAAAGAAAGTCTTCCTGCATTACCATACTGTATTACTGTATTTTAAAATTGGGCCAATGGGTACTTGTTAATGTTCCGTGTAGCGTTCAAAAATGGATCTGTTCCTGCTTGGATGCTCAGATGTACAGGGCTATACCTTATTTTGCTCGCACCATTCATTTGAAATGTCTAGCTGCCTCAGAATCTGAAAACCTTCTGCAGCGCTTTGATTTTATTTTAGCATCACATTCCATTGAGTCAGTCCTTGGGAAATGCCACCCCCCTCGCTACCGTGTAACTTAGCTGGTGTTTTCTCCCTTGCGTGTTATTTTTCATCCTCCACCATTTGATTTGGGTTTTTTTTTTCAGCCCCTCTCCACTCTCCCTGGATTTTAAAGCCCTGTGATTGACTGTTAAGCGCTGGCACTGGGGGAGGCGAAGCGGCATGGGGGCTGGAGGCAGATGGCTGCGTGGGTGGGATGCAGTGACTCATGAGCTTCATGTGTTGAATTTTGGTGTAGAAATGGTGGGGACCCCAGAAGAGAAGTCTTATTTATATTAAGAGTCCTTAAGTCATTTTTAACCTTGGAGAGGGCGGGGGACATACTGGAAGCTACTTTCAGAACAGTATATCTTTCACCTCTATTGCATTGGGTCTATTTCTCCTTTACTGATTGTGAGTTGTTTCATATTTATTAGATCGATTAAATTCTGCATCCAGTACCTTCTTAAGGGTCCACTTTTTTGTGCTACACTTTGATTTTAAATTCAGTCATACTGGTACTTTTTATATTTAGGTTTCTTAGTTATGAAAATGAGGTAGGACAGAAGAAATCAGAATAGGTAGAAAGGTGACAAAGAAAAATGTGATTTTAAGAGTGTACTTTTGATTTTGGTATTGGGAATTGTACTCAGGACCTTGTGCTTACCAGGCAGGTGCTGTGCTGCTGAGCTATATTCCAGCCTCTAAATTTGTGCTTTTAAGAATACTGCAGTCTCAGGACACAGAGCTAGCCAAGAGTACAATGAGTTTCCATTCTGCTTAATAAATTTGTCTATGTTGCTCACTGATTGGCCTAAAATACTGTTCTGTGCCAGAAAACCTACATGTTTATGGGAAGAAGCAGAGAGCTCTCCTCTCTTTTTTGGTACGTGTTGGACCTCAGACCCTGTCTGGTGACAACAAGAATCAAGGTTGGCAATAGAAATTACAGGAAATAATAGGAGAAGTAAAGAAAGTTAGTTAAATAATTCAACTGTTACCACAGTTTATGTTTGGGGTATGCTTTTAGATATTTGTATGAGTAAAAAAATATGAGCAGACCCACTGAATGTACCCATTGGAATGCTCATAATATGTGCAATATATTTAATACATGTGCTATAAGTTGTAATGTATGTCTTTTAAATTTTTCTTTGTTTAAGTTTTTCCTCTCATTTTCACTATTTTAAAATTTTTCTGTCTACTTTTTAGGCAAAGAAATTGGTACTTTGTGGTTGGGTTAATATGCATTTATTAGAAGTGAAGTGGAGAATTTTCATGTTTAGTTACCATTTTAAGCTTTTGTGAATTTGCCTGTTTGTATTAGTAGTTGAATTGTTTATTGCATGTCTTTATTCTTGCTTGTTTTAAATTGAGCAATAAGAGATGCTTTATAAAAGTACTACATTTTAGGGCTGGCAAGGTAGCTCAGTGGACCAAGTTCCTGCTTAGGCAAATGCACACACCGGGGTTCACTTCCTGGTACCGCATGCCACACTACCCAGTCCCTACCCCAGGCACCCTGAGCAGGCCACCGATATCAGGTGTGGTGGCGCATGCCTGTAATCCCAGCACTGAGGAGGCTGAAAACAGGAGGATCACTCTGAGTCCAAGCTGTGTAGTGAAACCCTGTACAAAATACATAAATTAAAAAAAAAAACAAAACATTTTATTTATCATTACTCAAGTAACCTTAACACAGTTGTTATACATTAACATTTCATTGTAATTGTCCATGGGCTCTGTTTTACTATTATATTTTCCAAATGCTATTGTAATTATAAAGGAAAGGGTTTTTTGTTTTGGTTTGGTTTTTGAGATAGGTCTTGCTAAGTTGCCCAGGCTGGCCTTGAACTTGGGATCTTTCCCCTTCATTCTCTTGAGTAGCTGGGATTAAAAGCATAAGCCACTGCACTCTGCTTTCATTTTTGGTTGTTACGTTAACTTTGCATCTTGATACCTCACTGAGTTGTATTATTACTTCTAATGATTATTCAGGTAATTGTTGCTTTTTTTTTTTTTTTTTTGAAAACCAAACACTTGCGAGTAATCATAATTGTGTTTTATTATCTAGAATGGTACTCTTTACTTTCTGAAAATCATAGTGTATTGGTTGAGATTTTCAGAGATCCAGCCTATACTACTAGGAATAGTTGGCAGATTTGCGCCTTATATTTATGGACATACCTGTAAGCACAAAGGTAGCACTTATTTGAAATGTATATTGTGCTTCATGTTACTGTATTTTTACTTTGCATTTCTTTTTGTTTTCTTTTTGCAGTATTGGGATCAAGCCCAGTGTTTCTTACTTGCTAAGTATGTGCTCTACCACTGAACTATACCCCAGGCCATTTTGCAAATCTTTTTAATGAGAAGTGGATTTTGTGTTTTAATTACAGTAACTTGAGCATCTTGGAAAGATGACTTCTTTTAATGAGATGTCTTTGCACTTCCAAAATAAATTTTAAACCCATAGTATATACAGTTCTGCCAGTGTAACACTCTCTGTGTTTTGTTAGTTTTCCTTTTGTATTTTTGCCTATCTCTACAAATGAGTTTGAGTGTAATCTGAATTTCCTTTTTTGTGACATTATTGTCAAATTCTGGCATCTAGTTTTTACTTCCTTGATATCAATCATCTTTGGTCTTTGGAAGAACTTATTTTTGTAGTTACATTTCCCTTCTTAGTCGTAATTTTCCCTTACTTTACTTGATTATACTTGGCAACAACTCACTAGCTATTAATTTATTAACTATCTGGTCTAAAACCTGACTATGGATGAACTAATAAATTTGCCTGTTTCGTTTTTTTACATTACATTTTTCATTTGTGACTTATTGCTATTTTCTTTGGATCCGCTTTTTTTCTATTTTTTATTTTATTTTTTATTTTTTTCATGGAACTGGGGATTGATCTCAGGTCTTGCGCTTGCCAGGTAAACACTTATTCTACTGAGCCATCTCCCAGCCTCTGAATCTGCCTTTTTAAAAAAAGTTCTCTGTTGCCTTGGTTGACTTATTTTAACATTGAAATTTAATTAAGAGCCTTTGCTCCTGCTTTCACTGTTGCAAACTCTCCGTAGTTTGCAGTAACTACACAATTTCTTTCTTGAATTTTTTTTTTTTTTAAAAAGGCAGGTTTGCTGAACTTTATAAAACCACTTCCGGCAGAGCTACAAATTCAAACTTCAGTGATTAACGAAGGGGGAAAATCCCCACTCATTTCCTTATTTCTTTCTTGAGTACTAAGTTATTGAAATCCAAATTCGCTTATCGGGCATGATCTAGGCGTCATCTGTTGGGGACTTTGTTTTCTGCTGCAGATATTGCTGTGGTGGAGATGAGCGACGCCTTCCGCCAGCCCTCTCTGTTCTACCACCTTGGCGTGCGGGAGAGCTTCAGCATGGCCAACAACATCATCCTCTACTGTGACACCAACTCCGACTCTCTGCAGTCCCTGAAGGTACCCCCTTGTTCACTCAGTGTTTAATTTCAGCTCCAGTCTTCTGGGAGACCTTTCTGTCACCCAAAACATTTTAAGTAGCTTATGTTTGTGAAAAGATGTTTTGCCTGCAGGATTACCATGCAACAATTACTAAGTTGTGAGGTTTATTTAGAATTCAGTGAAGATATGTATTTGATGATATGTAGGAAAAACTTCGTGTGGAGTTCAGAGTTCCAGGTCAAGTTGAAGCTGAGGATACAGCGGACAGGAAGTCACCTAGACACCTTGGAGAAGGGAAAGGAGAAAGAAAAGTTGGGCCCGGCACCTGCCCACTGGGGCTTCACTGTGTCCACTAAAAGTACCCTTCCAACTACAAGTGTTCTCAGTACAAATTTTCACTACATATTCCCAGAAAATCACCATCATTTTTTCACCTAGTATCACTGGGCAAGTAAAAGCTTTGTACTTCGTCCTCTAAACTCCAACTGTTCCCAGGGTCATTCTCTTCAGTAATAGAAACTCGCCTGGCAAAAAGCATTTCTATCATCCAAAAGGACCGAGGGATAAAAACTAATGTATCTTGCCTACAAGATTCTCTGTCCTGTCATAATTTTCTCTCCAATAAAGAGGAGAGAGTTTTTAAACCTGATTTGAAAACATTTCTTCCGTTCAACAAGGTTGCCTAAAATGCTTTTGCAAGGCCTAGGGATTTTTTGAAAAGCATCTTACAGTTCAGTGAAACTCATGCTGAGCCTCGTGTCATCTGTGTCCTTTGTGAAACTCCCAGCTAGCTTTGTGTGGCCTTTTCTCATCTCTATCTTCAGTTTCCCAGTCAGAGCCAATCTTGGGATATGGAGCCAGAGAATCCATAACAAACTTCTAATGACTTCGCAATTGCTATGCGCAGATCTCCAACCCTCAATCCTTGCAGAAATATTTCCTTACTAGCCTTTTTGCTTTAATCTGAGTTTCTGCACCATGTATGGTTTTCTGTGAAAAATTTGCATTTTCACTGAATAAACATATGTATGCCTGCTAGGCATTGCGCTTGGGAGTGAGAGGTCTAGTTTTTTCCAGAACATTCTGATAGGTGAGATTTGTTCCTACCTGAACTAAGTCTCTTTTTAGTCTGAAGCAATCACCTAAAAAATTGTTACTTAATTTTACTTCTTTAAAATTACCCTTTTAATTAGTGCATACAGAGTTCTGTAATTGTGTTGTTAAGTGTTTATATGTGCCATTATTTATAACATAATAGCAATTGATGAAAGAATAATATGATTTTATTTATCTCAGTCTTCTTCAGTTGAGCTCATTTGAGGCAGGCAGTGTTGGGCTGGAGATTTTTACTCTTCACAGTTTTTGCTTTTGCTGTATAAGTATCTTGCTACTTCAGTTTACAGCCATTCTCTTCTTCTTAGGCAATTTTTTTTTCATGAATTAAGATCACATTTGAGAGAAGGAGATAGAAGTTGAACTCCCTGGAAATGTATATGTGACAAATAAATTGGCTTAATTACTTGCAGCCAGCCTTTATGTAGTTTTTATTGGTACTTAAATAAAGTAGTTCTTTTCAAAGCCTGGTGATGTCTAAACTATGCATATTTATATTGTACACAAAGCTGCTACTTATTGAGCACATACCACATGCGAGGTATTCAGTACTGCACTGTATCCAGATACATGTTCTGGTGTGATCTTAGCGTAGCCTTGCGACGCATGTGGTCTATCCCCCTCTTATAGATTACAAAGTGAGGATCAGGCACATTCAGTCGTTTGCCCAACGTGATATGGCTTGGAAGATTTAGGACCAAGAGAGCTGGACTCCAAGCCTGTTTCTCTAGAACCACTGAGATCAATTGTCACTTACAGTCCCCACCACCACCACCACCCTGTATATGTGGGGTCTGTAGTTTCAACTAATTATAGATAATAAAGTTGTATCTGTACTGAGCATGTGCAGAAGTTTTCATCCTTAACATCATTCCCTAAACAATGTAGTATAACAACTATCTATATGTCATTTCATTACATTAGTTATGCTAAGTAATTGAGATGATTTAAAGTATATGAGAGAGTGTGGTAGGTTATGTGCAGATGCTGTTCTATTTAATATAAGGTTCTTGAGGATCCATATGGTTTGATATCTTCAGAATGTTCTAGAACCAGTTCCCCATGGACATGAATAATGACTGAACTTCTAGTCAGAAGCATATTGGACATTCCTGCTGAGAATGGTCTTTCAGAAAAGCCCATCGATTGTGCTTTCTAAGTTGGCCCATTCAGCATATATCTCTTTCTTTTCTCCTTCCCCTTCCATTAGCTTAAGCATTAGCTATTTACTCATTTAGACCCTAGCCAGTTAGCCCAGGGTGTCTGTTTGTAAAGGATAAAAATATCTGGGACAGAATATATTTTTGCAATCTAGCAATTTCCTCTGTGTCCTGAAAGGTTCTCTGCAACTGAAAACAGTCAGGGTACGTGTATTTTCTTCTGTTGCAGAGGGTCGTAGGTATAATTGCATATATTGTGTTATATCACGTAAGGATTAGGCAAATAAAACAAAATAAAGCATCTTTCTCTTTTCTCAGGGGCAAAAATAGAAATAGAATGCTGTTCCTTTTGCATATCTAGTTTCACACACATTGATTCTTTGGGCATCAGAGAAAGTACAACTGCACCAGTTTTATTTCCATTTACTGTTCTTTATTAAGGACAACAATGTCTCTGGTTCAGTTCTCAAGAAAAAAGCATAGAAAAAGAAATCTTTTCTAAGTTTGAGGCCCTTGAAAAACAATTAGGGGGAACTATACAAGTACTTAAAATCCATGTCTGAATTATCATTTGAAAGATACTTGGAATCTAAACATATCATGTATTCGCAATAAAATGTGTATTCGCTGCTTTAAACCACAAGTACTATTTGAAGACAGTGATGCTGAATGATTTTAACTATTTTTTAAAAAAAGATCATGATTGCACTTAGAGAGAAGGGAGTTATTTTTTTTTTACTTAGCATTACAACACATTTTTTCAGAACTTTCTTTAAATAAATACAGTGCCTCACTGTACCCATTAATGCTTATTGAGAGAGACTGTGTTAAGATTTAATTTACTTGAAAATGAGAAATGCTAGTGACAGTTCTTTTCTGATTTACTTCATGCATTTAAAAATGATTAGATTTCCACTGAGGATTTCTTAGTAAATGGGAAAATAAGCCTGAACGCCACCTTCCCATGCACTGCGGTGCAGATGTCCGAAAGGGCTGGGGAGGAGTGGATGGCTCTTGTGTAGAGGGGAGATACTGTTTTAATGGACCACATGGGGGCTAGGGGAGCTTCCCCTTCCTTCTCCTAGAGTTTGATAACTGAATCCACTGAAACCAACAGGAGAGAGATTAACAGGAGAAGAGACAAATTTATGAACATGTCAAACACACAAGCATCATCTAAAGCGTGGGGCAGAAAATTAAAGCTTGAATAGCTTCTTCCTAGGAGAGAGGCTAGAGGCAGATGAATGTAATTTTAGAGAACAAGTAAATGATATGGGGGGAGGTGAATGAGCCCAGAGAAGAATAATCTGGTGCAAAGTTCACCTTCACTCTGCCTTTAATATATCAATTCTGGGGTCTCGTGTGTCTCCTCTCCCCCTCAATCTGGAAATGGCGGGAGGCTGGAGGGCGGGAAGATAAGTAAACGGGATTGAGACATGCCCTGTATGGGCGCTGATTCCCTAGGAAGAATGTTTATTGTGCATCACAGCATGTCCTAGTAAGAAACTCTTCTGGAGGCTCTGTCATTTAGATAGGTAAAGGAGCTTCAGAGAAAGCCCGTGCTGAGCTTTGGAAGGGAAAGAGGATGGAGGGACCCCGGGGGGAGGTCAGAGACACCTCAGTTCTTTTTTTTTTTTTTTTTTTTTTTTGCGGAACTGGGGATTGAACTCAGATCCTTGCGTTTGCCAGTCAAGCGCTTATCCTACTGAGCCATCTTCCCGGCCCATAAAGGTTTTTTTTTTTTTTGTTTTTTTTTGTTTTTTTTTTTCTCGGAACCACGGATTGAACTCAGGCCCTTGCGCTTGCCTGGGAAGTGCTTATTCCACTGAGCCATCTCCCCGACACCTCAGTTCTGAGACTGCTTTTTAGCTCACGGTGATTACTTAGCATGTCAGAGTGCCCCACTGTGAGCTGTCATTTTCTGAGCTCCCCAGCAACTATTCTTCTCTGACTGTTACAGCTCACAACTCCAACTCTTACGATTCTTTCTTCCATATCTTTAGCTCTGGGTCACTTCCCACTCACTTTAAACAATGCTGTTTTGTAAACAAGCAAAACCAGACTTTGAAATACCATTACCTCATCGCATAAACAGCAGGTGGGGGGGGGGGCAGGAGATGGCTCAGTAGAATAAGCACTTGCCTGGCAAACTCAAGGGCCTAAATTCAATCCCCAGTTCCGAAAAAAAAAACTACCAGCAGTGGACGAGTGTAACAGCACAGCCTTCTGAAGAACACTGGGCAGTATCTCCTACTGTCAAGTGAGCACAGGCCCCTGCCTGAGCAATGGTGACTTGACATGAGTGCTGTTTCAGGAATACCAAAGGGTCTCTCACATGCATGAAGAGATATAATCAAGAATGTTGGTGTGCCATTGTCAGTAACAGCTCCTCTGCCCAAAGGAAGTGGTAAATATCTATTAGGAAAATGAAGAGGATACTTTTGGTGCAGGCATTGAATGGAATATTAGAGTGCATTTAAAATGAATCAACTAGACCTTTACACATCAATATCAATATATATCTGGAAAAAGCAACACTGAAGGAAAAACAGATGATATGTATACTATATCATTTTTATATGTGAGATAATACTGTTATACACATTTGAGTCATGAAAGAATAGAAGCGTGCTTGGAAATTATAAACACTCAGTCTAGTTGCCTCTCTGTAAGATGAGAGAGGGATAAAGTTGGGAGGGGAGATAAGATTTCAGTTGTCTCTGTAATGTAATATTTCTAAATCTA